ATACACACAGTACTACACACAGTACAAATACACACAATACTACACACACAGTACTACACACACACACACACACTCTGCTGTTACGTAACAGAGTCACTGACATGTTGTTTTCTGAGCCGGGTTCAGGTCCAGAAGTTGTACCAGAACCCTCACGGAGACATTTTAGACGGATTTAGTGTGAAACGAGTCCAGAAGCTGCTCTTTTGTCAGTTGAACACAACCCAGACTCAGTGTTTGGCAGCAGCGTTCCACATAGTTTGGATTCTTCTGAAGCTCTCAGCAAACATCGTGTTCAGCTGCAAAACACGTTGTTGTTCGGCCCGGTTTGTCGAGCTGCTGAAATGTGTGTTACATCAGCGCAGCGTGAGACAAACGGCAGAAACGTGGCTCCTGAATGTGATTTAAAGACGATGTCGTGGAGAAACAGGAAGGAGGGGTCGGGGTTTTTTTTTTGTATTTTCACAATAAAATATCAGATAAAGTCCAGATAAAGTCAAAATGATTGTCTTTAGATTAGTTTCTACATGTAAACACAGACTCTGAGGCTGTTCAATGAGTTACACCATGAAGTAAACACGCAGCAAATAACTTAGTCGTTGTCAACTAGCTGGATTATTGGTGATTCGGTTGAGTCTGAATTCTGTGTTTGCAGATTCTTGGATGTGAATTTGAGGGAACTGATCCACATTGTCTGACATTTTAAAGACAAACAGCTGATAAAACAACGAACAGATCAATCAAAGGGAACGTCACAGTTGGTTGAAGCCCTGAAAATATCGTTAGAAAACAAATAAAAGTCAATAATGATCTGTAGTAATAGGAAGAATTAATCACGCTGTGTGTTCTTATTGTATGTTACAGTCAGATAAAGTTGTTTTATTTCTTTAATCAGGTTCATTTACACCAGAAATAACACTGTAGGGTCTCAACGCCAACATTCAACAATCAGTGTTTTATTTACTAGAAAGAACTTTTATACGAAATTTAATAAAAACAAGCAGCTGAGTTCTTCTTTATTTATTTTGTTTCACATTCAGGTCTCTGCTGGAGTCGACTCCGTCTCCCGTCGTCTTCTGTCACAACGACTGCCAAGAAGGTAAAAATATTCAGACTCTGAACGCTCCGCCATGTTGTCGTATCTGGTCGTTTTGTGTCAAGCTGGTTTCTTGACCGTCTCAGAATCTGTTGGAAGGAACGATCTTCAGCGTCTGAAACTGACATCTGACCATTTTTTTTAGCTGAAATTCCAACATTCTCACCATTTTTTTACCCAGTGGAAGTTTCCAATAAATCGTCAGAAATCAAGCCAGATGCCACTTTCAGACGTCCACATCTCCTGAAGTATACGTCCTGGAGTCTCCACATGTTCAGGAGATGTTCAGGAGTTTCTGGTGAACGGAGAGAACGCAGCAAGTTCTGGAAATCAAGACTCAGTTCTTTGCTTCAGAGCTTCCAAAATCAGGATTTGTTCAAAAATTGCAAATAAAGTGGATTTAGGAAAAACATATGTGTAACACATAGAATCTATTTGATCAAAGTTATTGTGAGAATAACATCTGGATGACATCACTGATGCTTAGAAAGCTTCCATATGTTGGTAGAAATGGGAGTTATGGCCGATCAGAGTTGGTAAAACAGTAGATGGACGTGTTGACTCATGGGCAGGATGATGGAGTTTAAGACAGTCAGAGATGGAAGGATCATCTACTGATGGCCAAGTTCCAACATCCTTCATGTTGTCTTCATGATAAAACCGTTCTGCTCCTGACTGGTGTTATTAAACAGGAAGTGGTGGCGAGGGTTGGAGTCTGGAGCTGATCAGGAAAACTGAATTTTTTTTTTATGGGATTGTGGAAGGACATTGGGGAAAATAAACTGAGTCTTGATTTCCAGAACTTGCTGCGTTCTCTCCGTTCACCAGAAACTCCTGAACATCTCCTGAACATGTGGAGACTCCAGGACGTATACTTGAGGAGATGTGGACGTCTGGAAGTGGCATCTCACTCGATTTCCAACGCTTTATTGGAAATGTCCGTTGGGGTGAAAATGCTGAGAATGTTGGAATTTCAGCTAAAAAATGGTCAGATGTCAGTTTCAGATGCTGAAGATCGTTCCTAAAGACTTTCAACAGATTCTGAGATGGTCAAACTACCACCGTCACTGAGTCGACCCACACCGGTTTGTCTGTTTCATACGACATGTCCGTGCTGCCTTCAGGGAACATCCTGCTGCTGAAAGGCCGACAGAGTTCCGACAAACAGAAGCTGATGCTCATCGACTTTGAATACAGCAGCTACAACTACAGGTACGTCGGCGTCCGTTCAACACCTGAACGCAGCGTTTAGAAGCTCAAAACCTCGAGATTCAAACTGTGGAAAAACCATTCTGAAAACACCAAAACCACAGCAGCAGCAGATCCTGACTTTGGAAGGTTAAACAGTCCACTTCCTGTTGCGCGTTAGTTTCACTGGAAAGTCAGAAATGAAGAAAAAGTTGAGATAAAATCAACCAACAACTTTTGCAATAGTTGATTCAATTATTAAAGTTCAAACATTAGCTGGTTCCAACCTGTTAGATGTGAGAATTTAACGATTTTCTTGGTATTAAATTAAATATTTTTGGATTTCAGAGACATTTTTTTGGTGTCATCTGTAGAACTTCTGAGTGATGTTCTTATTATTTGACACCTAAAATAATCCTCATGCCTGTTGTGCATCCTGCTGCCGTAAAAAGCCTCCAGTGTGCGAAATGTGTATTAATCCGCCGCTGAAAGTAGTCCCCCGACAAACCTGCTGTTTTCTCCTGTTTGAGTAACAGCTGCTGAAATCTGCAGGCTCCTGCCGTTTGTTTTTAAAGATGAACGTCTTCATTAGTTCATTAACACATTCATCTGGTGTCAGAATATCGGGAAAAGTCAGAAATTGACATGAACGAGCTTTTAAATCAGTAAAATTTAGCACAAATTTCCAGAGTTGTTGACGTCTTTTACGCAGAAACAACTAAACGTTTGGTTGATGACGAGAAACGTCTGATTTACGGTGCAAATCCACATGTTGCTCGTTCATTTGTGGTAATATTTAATGTGTAAAATGGTATTTGGGTATAACTGAGTGACTTAGATTCGTTAGAAAAGTTACGAATTAGCAGGAACTCAGATGAGAAGCCATAAAACGTTTTTGCATTTTCACCTAAAAGTTCAAGAATCTGAAGAAATTTGAGCAAATTTCTTTTACGTTTTTGATTTTGCTTTTTAAAAACATCAGTGGGATGATTTTATTTTTTTTTTTTTTTTTTTTTTTTGGTTTTTTTTTTTTAAAGCTAAATGTACTTTTTCTTTACATATCAGAGCTGAACTTGTGTCTTAAAGTCTCCGTTTACCTTCGGGTCTGTTGACAAACTGGAGAAAACAAAAGTTTTCCTGTGAACGTCGCTGCCTCCACACAGTTTGTTGTCCATGATGCAGGGAAGTGAAAGCAGGAGGAAACGGGGAAGGAAGCTCAGCCTGACCCTGAACTCACCACCCTTCATCCTGTCCTCACGTAAACTGAGCCGCGAAACATTTTTGTGCCGTTTTGTCAGTAAATACTCGGATATTTTCAGCGTCGTCGGTGTTTTCCCTCCAGTTTACGTGTCACATATTACATAACGAGAAATGTCCGGAAATAATGTCCAGCTTTGACTTTTTGTAAAAGCCCAACGTGTCCAAAAATATGAAATAAAACCACAAAAATATAGAAATATAAGAATATTTGATGCTGAATAAACCAGAATAGTTAGTTAGCTCGATGGCGTTAGCATCTGCTGCCAAGATACACTAATTAAATGGAAAAAAGGTTATTTACAGCAACAGCTAGCTAGTTGACCCAGAATTAGCTTGATGTTGTTGTCGCTTCAGCTAGCAGATGCTAACTGGCTAAATCCGGTAGCAGTCGTTGGGCTTTTTAACATATAAGACAAATAATGTTTTTTTAAAAAGTGACGTAAATAAAAGAAACAACACAAAGAAAAAAAAGTGGCATTGTGAAAAGTCCAATTATACTAGTGCTTAAAACATATACATAAAAAGTGACGTTAAAGAAAAATAGCATTGCTAAATAAAAATTGACGTGAAATTAGGGGCGATTGTGAAAACAAATTGTAAAATAAAAATAGACAATTTAAAAAAATAAACAAATATAAGGGGATGATATGAAAAATCCAATTGTTAAATAATATAATAACAAATTAACAATTAACCTTTTTTTCATTATGAGATAAAATAGATGTAAAAAGTGATATTAAAAAATAAAAAAGACAAATAAAAATTAACATTATGAAATAAAACTGACACGATCATAAAAAACACATTAAAAAAAATAAATTTTAAAAATTTTAAAAGTCCTGTTATTAAATAAGAACTGATGTTGAAATGAAAATAGCGGTAAAAAATGATGTTAAGAAATAGAAAATAAAAAACTAACAACATATAATAGGGGCAAAAGGAAAAAATTAAATAAGATTTTTTTTTTTAAAAAAAAGAGCTTAAAATGACAATAAAAAAATAAAAATGACATCCAGTAATAATTTTAAAAAAAAACATTTTTTAAAAATTTAATTAAATAATTAAAAAGAGTTTTAAAAAGTCCTGTTAGGAAATAAAAACTGATGTGGAAATTAAAATAGAGGAAAAAAGTGAAAAAAAATCAAAATTGACAATATATAATAGGGGCACAAGAAAAAAGTTTAATTATAATATTAAAAAAGGCTTAAAATGACAATAAAAAAATAAACATGACATCCAATAATAAAAAACAGTTGAATTAAATGAAGATAGAGGTAAAAACATTGTGACATTGTTAAATGGATGTTTTTCCCAGTTTGTCCGTTCCTTTGAGTGTTTTACGCAGTTTATTAACACGACTGTTCATCGCCTGTTGATCTCATTTGGGACACTTTGGAGGTGATTTAGTGGTTTGATGAGTCAGCAGCTGCTGATCCACAATGTTTAAATCTGCTGCTGCGTCACTCTGTTATCGTCCGACCTTCAGAGGACGATAAACCGACAGCAGAAACAAAAACCGAGGCAGGAAGAAGGACGAGCACGGAGGCAAAGACTCCAGGCTGCTTCACCAACGTCTCCTCGCTGTGTCGCTCCCACATCATGGCTGCCTCTGTTTAACATATTCACTGCGGCTGTTATGTAAGCACAGCGGCCCGGGCGGAGTCGCCGCAGAGCCGATGGAGATGAAGGTGCAGCGGATTCGCTCCAAGGAGGGAGGACAGATTAGGGAGAGCTGCGTAGGAGCGCTTGTTTTCTGCACCGCCGCCTGAATTCCTGAGTCTCATTTCTGGGAAACGGCGTAAATCCCAGCGAAGCCCCCTCAGCGTCGCCCCTTTAAGGCTCCCCATACATGAGAACACGTGTTGCACCAGTGACCCAGTGCACGCACATGCCAAACATGTGAGCGCGTGTTCCGTCATGTATGTTGCAGGAGGACACGCCTCCGTGGTTGGTTACCGGGGGGTAAACAGACGGGGCTGTTCCTGGGGGAGGTTTGTGTGGGGAACAGCTGCTGATAACGCCGTGGGAATCTGCTCGACTCACTTCAGGACACGAACACACGCAGCGCTTTGTTCCGAACCGTCCAGTCACTGAAGGTTTTGGAAAAGCTGCCCCAGATACAGACGGAAACACAACGAGATTCTGAACATTTTGTTGTGTTTCTGAGCTGCTTACTGCTCGGCTTTAATCCCTCTGACCTTCGTTATAGCGCCACCGTCAGCCCTAAAACGTTAATCTGTTCAACACTTGGACATTCCATCAGCTTCAGCTGTGTTTACCGCTAATTAGCAGGCTTTAGCATGACAACAGGCTACTCTATAAGGTGCTTGTTAAACACTGGCAGGCCGGAATTGTTAATGTAAGGTTGTTCGCATGCTGATGTAGCATTTTAGCTAATAATCAAACCTTCGAGAGCTGCTAGCATGGCTGTAGATCAGCTATTTATCAGAGGCTGGTATTTGTTCAAATGTTAGCATGCTAACACGGTAAACTAAGACAGTGAACATGTTAAAGATTATGCATGTTAAAGATATAAACATTTTAGCTTTGAGCATGTTTACGTGTTGATGTTAGCGTTTAAACTCAAATTAAAACCTTAGGGAGTTGCTAGCATGGCTATCCATAGCGCTGTTTATCAGAGGCTGGTATTTGATCAAATGTTAGCATGCTAATGGGGTAAATGCAGACAGTAAACACGTTCAACATTACACATGTTAAATATCAGCGTGTTAGCATTTTTTTCTGAGCTTGTTAGCATGCTAATGTTAGCATTTTAGCTCATAGTCAAACTTTAGAGAGCTGCTAGCGTGGCTGTAGAACAGCTATTTATCAGAGGCTGGTATTTGTACAATTGTTAGCATGCTAACAGGTTAAACAAAGATGAACACAATAAACATTACACTTCGTAAATATCAGCATGTTAGCTTTGAGCATGTTTACTTACGTTATAATATTTTAGTTCAAAGTCAAATCTGACATTGTTCATTTAAAAATGTTAGCATGCTAACAAGCTAAATAAAGAGTGGACAATGTGAACTTTATACTTGTTCAACAGTAGAATATTAGCAACATTTGCGTGCATGAGCGCAAGGCGATGTTAGCATTTAGCGCAACACTAGAATTGCAATTCTTAAGGTTTAATAAGTGTTGATAAACTTTAGCACGTCAACAGGCTAAACTAAAATGGTAAACACGGAAATAATTTTTACTTAATCAGCATATTAGCATTGCTTGTGGTTTTCCTTGTTAGCATTTTAGCCTTAAGCTAGACAGCAACAGATGGAATTAATTCATAAACTATGTACCTGATGTTTTTAATTAACTGCAATTCTTTCGTCTATAAATGCTGCAAATACTAATAATGCCACGAGTTAAACAGTATGGCTGACATTCAGTTTAATATTCGACATTGTAAACTATTTCATGACTTAACCAAACTTGTCTGACTAATTTCCATAAGTTGAAAACGTCCCGGCGTTCTTACATAACGTGCAGAACAGAGCGTTGAGTGTTGAGCTGCAGCCTGTTATGTGAAACAGGATGAAACCGGGATCAGCTGTGTTTACGTGTTCAAACCAGGGAAACGCAGAGTGGAAATCCACGACGTAACACAGCCTCGTGTTATTCTGAGCAAACAGAACCAAGAGAGGCGTCGGCCGTGATTCAGAGAAACGGCGAGAACATGTGACTGTCGTGGAGGAAAACATCCACACAGGAAGCAGTGTGTCTGCTGAAAACGGACAGAAGCAGAGTTACGTACAGCGTCGCTCTGAATGAATGCAAATAAAGAATACAAACTTGTTTAGGATATTGAGAATAAGCTTGTTGAAATAATAATAAGAAGCTGGACACAAGAAGAAAGCCCAAATGAATAATACACAGAATCCTGAACCAGCACAACCATCGGCAGAAATAACATCAGCTCAGAAATGACGGAAATCTGAAGTAAAGTTCTTTAAATGTTTATTTTACCGATTTAGTTTCTGTCGAATCGCTTCATAGACGCTTGTTCTTTATTAATAAAGTTATTATTATCATGATAATATGTATTTATGTGTGTTGATTGTATGTAAACACACACAGTCCAGGAGCTTAAGCAACGAAACCAAAGCGTATAAAAGTGCAGTTTATCTCTTATTTAAAAACCCACATCATCTGTGATTATTTCTCTTTGACCGTCCGTTGCAGGGGCTTCGACATCGGGAACCATTTCTGCGAGTGGATGTACGACTACAACTGCGACGAGTTTCCGTTCTTCAAAGTCGACGCTCAGAACTACCCGTCCAAAGCCCAGCAGGTGGGAAAAAAAACCTAACGCTTGTTTCTTGTTGCTCTGCTTCTTGTTTGCGGGCGTCTGACCGGAGTTTGTTATTTAAACCCGCAGCTCCACTTCATCGAAAGCTACCTGCGCGAGTCCGACCGAGGCTTCGACAACCTGAGCGAGGAGGACCAGACGAAGGTGAAGGAGGAGCTGTACGTGGAGGTGAACAGGTTCTCTCTGGCGTCCCACTTCTTCTGGGGTTTGTGGTCCATCATCCAGGCGCGACTGTCCACCATCAAGTTCGGATACCTGGTCAGTTTGTGAGGTTTTTGAAAAAGTTGTTCCAATACCAGCCAGAAACCATCGAATCTGCTCGTTTCTGCAGTGATTCTACGAGTTTCTTCAGCTCCGTTTTCTTGTTTTTCTTCCACTGCGGCTGCTGCGTTTGAGAAAATACAGCTACAGAAGGATTCAGTCTGTCCCGGTAAAACACACCCGCTGCAGATCCTAAAGTTTGTGAACCCACAATCCTCTGCAGCGGTTACGTCACATGATCGAGCCTCAGGTCGAGTTCAAGAGGCATGATTAAGACGAAGCAGGACGACGCTGCGTGAAACCGTTTCCTGTGAGCAGCTGCAGTGTTTAAAGAGCGTGACCAGCGTCAATATTTAGTGATCGGGTCAGATCGGGTCAGATCGGGTCGCCGTGTCACGCTGACACACCTCTGCTGCTTTATGTCCAGTTACGTAATCACAGCTTTAGAGTAAATATTTGACGGAGCAACGCTGGAAATCTTTTGTGGATAGTTTTGGTGATTTCTGCTCAGAATGATCAGAAGAAGACAAATAATAATCCTCATGATGTTAGCTTTTCTATACAAGCATGAAACCTGTGGAAACCTTCCAGTTCATGCCCTAGAACTCCTCAGAACCGCCTGGTTCTGTATCTGCAGCACCTTTATCTGATGACCAGAGTTCTACCTTCAGACTGTGAATGTTCCAGAACCTTGAAGTCCACAGAGGAGGCTCCAGATTGATCACCTTAATGGACTTTTTCCATCATTTCTGAGCCTCAGAACTTCATCAGTCCAGCAGATAGACACATGACGTTTAGGAGGAGGAACACATCTGGGTTCTGTGTTCTTCCTCCTAACTGTCATCTGCTGTACTGATGAAGTTCTGAGGCTCAGAAATGATGGAAACATACATTTAGTTTGATTTATTTCTACAGAATGACCCGGGTTTTATATCTTCTGTTCCTCAAGGGGCTGAAGCTCAGATTTAACGTCCTTATTACGTGGTAGAACTGTGCTGACCGTGACGTGTCCTTGTTGCAGGAATACGCTCAGGCCAGATTTGACGGCTACTTCCAGCAGAAGAAGATGTGGGCGGTGTAACGGAGCGACCCGACCGGACCATCAACGCCACGTTCAGCCGGAAGCGTCCAGGCTGACCAGATTCACGCTTTACTTCCTCCTCGCCCGCCGGGGATCCGCTGGCTCGCGCCGGCGTTTGTTGGCCAAAGCCGAAGCTCGACCACGTGGCTTGGTGCTTTAACGTCCCACAATCCATTGCAGCTCAAAGTTTACACTGCGTCTACCTGAAGGCCAAAATAATAGAGTAAAAAGCATCGACTACTAACCTTCATCGCCGCTCGGCTCCTCTGCCCGCTAACCGAGGCTTCGGGGAACGGCGGCGGGTCGAAAGCATTGCATCAACGCGTTTGTACAGATCATTAACCGACGGAGACGCTTCTGTGGGAACGAACCAAATGTGAAGCAGCCGCGTGCTAAATATGAATATTATACCGTAGATGTGCCAGTAGCTGGTCCTGTCTGTTACTGATGGGCCGACTTGGTCCGATGTTCTGACTATCACACACTTTGTTTGGTTTGCTTCTTAAAAATGGGCGAGTTTTTAAGCCCGTGAGTAGTTTCCTGACGGGCGTCACCAAATCAGACGTCTGGAGTCTCACTCGTACAGTATTACAGCGGATCACTGTGACGAGTCTTTGTGTCGTCTTCGCTTTGCGTTGTCGGATTCCGGCAGCTTTTGGTGAGTCTCGCCGCTCAGCCCTCCACACGGCAGACTTCTTATCGCAACGATGCATTCTTTGGCGACTTTCCTGGTGTTTTGGCTTCACTTCCTGCCACCGAGTTGCCTCGTCGTTGCACCAATAATCCAAAATGTCAATAAACAGGCGTCACATCAGGCTGCACAGCTGGATTTTTTTTTGCATAAATCACTTATTCAACCCTTTGAACTCCAAGTAGATTCTGTGCATATTATTATTTTTTTTGTTTTTTTCTTCCCTGTGGGTTCATTTTTCACTGCAATGTGAAGTCCTGCACCTCTGTGGACACGCAGAAGTTGTAAAACCCGGCAAAAGTGGCTCTCAAATGTCTGCACCTCTATGGAAGCAGCAGAACTGTGGCTAGAAGGAGTCAGAACTTTACAATATAACACAGTCAAATGACTAAACAAGGAAAAAAGCTAAACTTCTTTAATGCATGTTACCAAAATTAAGAAAATGTGCAACCAACATGTCCAACGTTTTACCCACAAACACCACCAACACTGGGAGCACGGTAACTCTACCTTCTGTAGATATTGAACTATTTGCATTGTTCATTAGTTCCGTACACGTCTCCTGTCTGGCTGCAGCCAAAAACACAGGAGTGGACGTGTTTTACACAATCTGGTTAGAAAAAAAGATTCATCTTATTGGTGAATTTTGAATCGAGACTTGTAGAATAAAATATCTCCATTTTAAACTCAGATTTGGTTCATTTTCAGGTACGATTAGTTCAAGGACTGTTGGAAAATTGAAGATTTAAAGCTTCTGGCTCTGATGAATGGTGCAAATTTTGGAGTTCAGGAGGTTAAGTGAGTTCTCACTGGGCAGCAACTCGGCTAAAGGTGCATTTCGTGACGATACTTAAATGGGAATTCGGCTCTGAAGTTCTGCATCTCAGACGATCTAAGTGTAGCGGTGCAGAGAGAAAACCGATTAATTCATCCGCACATGGTGAACCGGCTCGTTCCTACCTCACCTGACACGCCACCACCAATAGAGATTCATCCCCTGCTGCTGAGAGAAACTTGGCTCTGCCTTTAAATCAGAAGTGTTAGAATTTAGATTTGTGTTTACTGTTTGCTGACATTCAATGCGGACCTGCACCTCAGTTTGACACTCGTAGCAATCGACTGTTTAAAAGTACTTTATGTCACAATTTCCACGTTGTGAAGAAGTACCAACAGACTCAAACTGACTTTTGCTAAACCCGGCGAGCATATTGTACTGTAGACACAAGGCAGGTTTAGTACTTGAAATTAATGAACTTTTTTTTTTTTTTTTGCAGTCTTCTCGATTTCTAGCTAGCTACTCTTAATTTTGCAGCTTTTCAAAGACAGGAACCTTGTTAAAAAGGTTTTAAATACGCTCTTGGTTGCTGCATTTGTGATATAAAATGCTGAAGCTAAGACTGAATAACTTTGCGACATGCAAATACAAAACCAAAACACAATAATTACGTATGTGTTCAAAATGCGGTCTTTTAATGCTTGTTGTTCAGTGACTGCACTCCAGCTAGTTAAGGCTAGGCTAAATGTGGTCACAGCTAGCTTCAGCTAAAGCTAATTTACAGACTTTTTAAAGTTTGTTTCAGTAACTGCACAGTTTATTTTGATGTTTTACCTCATAAACAGGGATGACACTAATCAGATAGAACAGTTAAAATAGAGGGTCTAGCTAAAAGCTAATCGGCCTAGCCTAGCCTAGATGTCCAATCACAGCATGCAGAAGCAATCTTCTCTAAAAGTTGTGTTTTTTCTTTAAAGGAAATAAAAGTCATTCAATCAGAGTTACAAGATTGTACAACTCTGTTAATGTCTGTTGTTTAAAAGAGAACAAAGTCCAAACCAAACCGCAGTGACTCCAGCTAGCTAAGGCTAGTCTGACTGCAGTCAGAGCTATATTTAGCTAAACCTAATATACTGATGTTTTCATACCATTTAAATTTTGATGCTCCGCGATCTTAGCAATCAGATATTACAATGCATGAATAAGGCCAAAGCTAATAATAATGGTGAGACGTACCAAGTAGAGTCGTGCTAAAAAGCTAACTAGCCTAGCTTAGATGTTTCCAGAAAATCTAAATATAGCTACATCCATGATATTATGCTAAAATGCTAAAGCTAAATAAGTCGAATTTTAGAACAATGTACAAGGCACGAAAATAAAGGACTCTGTCCTACAAAACCAAAACACAGAACTACATATTTGTAGAATGCTTTTTATTATCTGTTTTTCCTTCGGAAAACAGAAAAATCAAAGTAAAAACCAAATCATAGTGACTTTGCTCCAGCTAATTTAAGCTAGTCTCAGTTAATCACAGTGAGATTTAGCAAAAACAACATTATGGACTTTTTCAGCAACTGAAGCAATAATTTTGATGCTCCAACATCTTGATATTTCAATATTATACTGTATAAATAAGGCTAAAGCCAGTTCTAATGTAGAAAATTAGCATGTCGAGTAATGCTAAAAGCTAACTAGATTAGCTTAGATGTCCAATCACAAAGCTTAGCTCTGGTTTTATCTAACGGTTATTTTTCTTATTCTCATTAAATTAAGTGTTTACAACCTCACACAGCTTTTACATACTTTAGATAAGCAGCCTTCAAACTTTAAAACCGTTTTCTAACACAGTTACTGTCAATGTGGCATTAAAGGTCGCTAATGTTAGCTTGAAGTCTGATATAAGACAAAACTGCTTCAGCACAGTGAAAAAAATAACACAAAGTTAATGAGCTAAGTTTGTTTTTAATGTAACTTTGCAAACTAATGTGGTTAGCCTGCTCAGTTTGAAGCTAACACTTGGTTACTAGCGTTAGCTATGGTGGATAATTAGCTCACTATGCTAGTAAGTCAGTGAGATGCTAAGCCATAGCTGGACAATAAACTGCTGTTTGGATGAGTGAGTTTAGCAGAAGTCAGTTCAAGCTGTCGTCATAACTACTAAACACTGTTTTAGGTCCCTGTTTCGCCATAAAATGTAGAAAAGTGTTAGCATGTGACTGCGCTGCTACAAAACAAAGCTGTGCGACCACGGCGTGCACATCCAAGTTCATTCCTGTGAAGTTACACATCTGGGTGTTCTCTGTGTTTACCACCAAATGAAAATGTGACTTTTGTTCGGCTGAATAATAAAACTCAGCAGAAACCTGACGGAGTGTTTGAATGTCGACTTTGGCACTTTTGCGGACCGAAAAATCGAAACTTTTACAAGTATGTGAACGTCGGGTGTCGTTGAACTGTGACTTCTAGGTGGTTGAAATGTTGTTTTACATACACGTGTATTTTATTGTGTATTTCATCGTTATATTTCCTTTGAATGTGTAGATTTGTTTCTGTAATTTTTGACTGGACTTGAGATGGTGACGGGAAATACTGGACAAGTGTTACTGGTTCATCTTTTACATCTCTGCTGTCTTTTTCTTTTTGGTTTCACATCATTCGGTGGCGTTTTTCTTCTGCCGAACCTGAATTTCTCAAGTTTCTGTCCTTTTTCATATATTTTTTTTTTATATTTGTGATATAAAAAAACACTGATTTGTAATCATAGCACATTCCATCTGTGTTACTTCGCCTTCAGTATCACTTTGGACCAAAACAACGATGACTCCAATTGGCTCCAACAAAACCAAACTAGTCTCCGGTAGAGAACAAACCCTCACTGATGTTTCTGTAGTATTCACATTAACACATATAGCAGCTGTGAGTGATTCGACATGCATAATGACTGTGAACGCACACTGTGTGATAACTTTGCTATCTATGCAGCTATACTGATGCACATATACTCACTACTACACACTGTGTCATGAATAGTGTTGCTGGTGAAGAAGTGACCTCGGCTGTAAATTTATTGCTTTGCACAAATAAAAGTTTAAAAAAAAAAAAAGGAGGAGAAGCATGACTGGTGGTTTCTTTAGTCTGGATGTCTGTTTCCTCGCATATAATCTCTGTTTTAATTGTAGATATGTTGAAATATTCTTCATCTACTGACCAGAGTTCTACCTCCAGACTGTGAATGTTCCAGAGTTCCAGGTCCTTGAAGTCCACAGAGGAGGGTCCAGATTTATCACTTTAATGGACTTTTTCCATCATTTCTGAGCCTCAGAACTTCATCAGTTCAGCAGATAGACACATGACATTTAGGAGGAAGAGCACATCTGGGTTCTGGTAGAACCTGACACCAGATCAGTTCTACATCCATCCAGGAGTCTCAGTCTGAACACTG